GAGGGGGGGGGGGAGTCAGAAGAAATAGTGTTCATGTAAATTTTCATTTCAGTACATGTATCTTTTTTTTCTTATATAATAGCAATGATGATGTATTTTTCAATTGATGTAATCCCAAAAATCATATCCACAGAGAAAGTGATATCCGGCCTTGTGCCACGTGCATTGTGCTTAAATTAAACAGATAACAAATAAATTATTATAATTACTTTGTTGGTGTTTCATTAAAATGTTTAACTGGCGCCATCCGCAGTACCGTGTGATAAACACGAGGAGCGGCCCGCGCGCGCTCTCACGTCACGACACAAACAATGTGTTTACAGTTTACTTAACGAGTTATTTCATTTGCCGAGCGTTATCCGTCTTCAAATTCAGTATTGTACATTAATTATCAACATCGTTATCGCGCTATCGGCGCCATCGCGGCGACATCTCGGCGACCTGCAACATGACGACGACGAGCTAGAAACATAGTCTGCCTTCTACATGTATACCTACTCTAAACCGCCGATTAATTTAGTTACAATTGATGTAGCTCTTACTACTTATTAACTATTTTATTTCGAACTAGCTGTTGCCCGCGACTTCGTCCACGCAATATTAAGATAACAAAAGTATCCTACAATTTCCAATTGTCCTACAAGATTCTTTTGGCAGCCGGCAAATTTTATGAGATGAGAAGTGACATTTAATGTCAGGGTAATAGTGACATAGCTTGTCAGTTCACTACGCGTCATTACTTTACGCATTTTGTGTGGCTTTTTAATGTCATTCCATTTAAAAATGTGAATCATCTCGTGTGTTGCAATCAAAATTTGTTAGCATTTGTTAAGAAATTTTCTAACTCTCAAGGCGACGTAAGTTTTTAGATTTATAATTTAAAAAAATAATTATATAATAATAGACTTAAAAGTATTTTGCTGAAAGTTGTTATATTTCCTATTTCAAATTGAAGTGACACAGGTCAAATCATATTCCTTCCCTAACTGTCTCAAGAGAGTGCATTGCTAAAATTTTGCTACAAAGATTCTTTAACTATAGAGCCTTCTAACCGACAAACGAAGTTTGGGGCATTTCCTAGTTACATTGCAAGGTGCAAGTACTTCCTTTACAATTTACATTTTCGTTTTCAAAAGGTTTTCTAAATGCTCAGAGGCGCCATCTTGTCAATGTCAAAAAGATGCTACAAAAGCCTTGTGACACTATACACTTTTTTAAATTTCATTTCGGAGGACCAGAAAAAAATTGTAGTTAATTTGTTATTGTATGAGCTTCAGTGTATTTAATTTTCCTTTACATGTAAATTCCTTTACATTTCATATCAAAAGGTAGTGTTAAATATGTATAAACAGGACTTTGGGTAATTACCGGAATAACGTTATTTGCTTGTTATATGTTATTTGCTTGGCAGTTGGTGACGGCCACCGCGCTGGCTGCTGACGACATATCTTTGTACTGGAACGACGACAGATTAAGATAAGTACAATCACGATAACTGAGGACGCTATAATGAAGTCTTTATTGTAATAAGTTGTTTAGATAATGAGATAAAGTAAACCCCTGAAACATATGCTACAACTAATATACTAACATTTGACATCTAAATTACTAATAGAAAATATAAATTTAAAAAGCCACGGGGCCACGACCGTTCTAAATATATGATAAAAATACTTAATTTCTAATCACTTTAGTTAAGCACAGCTTTTTTTTTTTCAAATCTATCATTTTGACTAATAGAAGAGATGTTTTAGTATCTATTTATGTGGTTATTACAACGATAGTTACGTACGGCTTAAAATATGGTGGAGTACTACTGTCTCTAAGCTTGTATGGAAGTACAGTTATGGTCAAGCACTAAGCTAAGCAATTAGCTATATGCGCTATGAGCTATGCGC